GACCTAAGTCTAGAATGGCCATTGGAAACTAAAAGAAGTTTTCAGTTTTATAATTAGGTACGGTAATACTTAATAGTAGGGATCAGGATGAAACAAAGCAGCGTACATAAAAATCGCCCTTATAAAACCATCGTTAAAATGTCTGAATATAAACAATAACTATTTCACAGTATTGGTTGAACAAAACTAAAGCCTATTATAGTTATAAACCACCTAAATTGCTATATGCATGTTTATGGAGTGAATCAAAATTTCACTGTTTCAATGAATTTTCATCTAAATAAGTAAGTAAGTGACTTTTCCGGACAAGCATACAGAAAAAATAACGAACGTTATCGTTCTAATTCTTTCACAGAACTCTTGAATCTGGGGTCCTAATGATTCCTTTCTTGTACTAGTATATATATATATATAACAGACGTTGCGCTGCTTTGGACATATAATTAGACAAGGAAAAGTACCCATCCCCAGTGACGGGAAAGTTTATGTTAATCTATCAATTTAAGTTATTTCATAGGCTTTAAAAAGGCTAACTGTGTTTGCACTCTTGGTTTCTATTATACCACCAACCGCGAAAAGTAATTGTTGAGCATTTATGTCATGTTAAGAGTCGTTCAACAATAACATACGGCAAATCTACATGTATATTCTTTAAGTTACGTCACATTTTGAAATGTGAATGATAGTGTGATAAACTCCTAACAGTTTAGTGTAGAATATCATGCTTGTAAAATAAAATTTGGCATGTACATTATTCATGCTTGTTTCAAAAGTGAATGTTGAATTTTGCTTGTGTGCGCAGCATTTTAAACGTAGTGCAGGAAGCGACCTCCGTAAACAGGAGACAGACGGCATGGTTCGCAATATATACAAAATTTGAGGGTTGGTTGATAGAGATCCTGATGAGTAATAAATTCGAATATGGTACAAGCACATCCCACGTTTGGTATTGCTGGGGCACAAAAATACAGCTAATAAAAAGGAAACAAACAAGTATAATAATTTTTTTAAAATTCTATAAGGACAAGGAGGGATCTATATATTAAACGTAACCTAGCTGCTAGCTATAGTAATGTAGAACGTTTTAATGTTACAAAAAGTATTGAAACAAGAAAATCAAAACTACAAAAACTGTGTTAAAATTTAAAATAATTTATCCATACTTTCGCAAATCACTGTAATTATGTTACTCTGAACCAAAGTAGGAATAAAATTTAAACAAATTTAAGTTACTTAGTTCTGTAGTTTGACTATTTTGTTTCAATACTTTTTGTAGCATTAAAACTCTATATTACTATAGCTAGCTAGGTTATGTATATATCGATCCCTACTTGTCTTTATAAAACTTTTAATTTTTTTATTACACTTGATATTACTGTTATTTGCTTTCTAGTGCTTTTTTGAAAATTAGAATATAACTCATAAGACTAGCGTTCAATTATTGTTAAGATTAATTGCAGCAGCCAGGAATTTTTATTAACACTTGACCCTCCATGCCAAATTATATAAACATCAAATAAACGATTTGAAAGGAGTTGGTGAAGTGCACACTTTTGTTCTATGTTTGTAACCCCTCTAGTTAGGGTTGAGTCCATCTCAAGGAGTGACACAGATTCTTGTACAAATTGGTATGGAGTATGTGTTTTTTTTCTCCTTATGGCCTGACATTCTATTCGCAATTTGTGGGTCACAGGATCGAAACTCTTCACTGAACATGCTCGCCCTTTCAGCCGTAGGGGTTATATAATGTGACGGTTAATCCTAGTACTGTTCATTGCTCTATGGTGTTGACTAAGTGCCCTTCCCCTAGTTTTTTACTTGGAAATTAGGGACGTCTAGAGCATATAGCGTTCGAGTAGCTTTGTGCAAAATTTAACAAATCAAACAATCTCTTTCCTACAAATGTTATTTGAAATAATAAGTGATGCATACAACAGTGGATTCGTATATATCTTATTTTAACGTTGTAGTTTGAATTTAGGCAGTAAATGATAATTATACTTGTCTTTGTCTTGTATAGACGTAGAAACAAAAACTTCTCTCAACCCCAGCAGTCAGTATAGTCACTACTGAACAAAGAAGTCGATCAATCTGGATGTCAGACACTGAAAACAATGATTGTGTATAAATATTTTAATTGTTCACTTGTGTGTATTTATATAAATAAAAATAGTACTGTCTGTTGTATGTCCATGTAACCACTTCGCAGGGTGTGAATAGATCTTCACCAAAATCGGTATGGAGATTCACTAGGTCCATGCGTGGGTACATAAAAATGCATTTTGCGTTTTTTCCACTACCTCACCTCTTGTACATGGATCTTTACCAAATTTGGTATGGAGGTTCATTAGGTCCATGGGGAGATACATACAATTTTTCAATTTTGCGGTTTTTATGGGCGTTTTTTACCACTGCTTCGCCCCCTGTTGACAGATCTTCACCAATTTTGGCATGAAAGTTTGTTGAGTCCACGAGGAGATACATGCAAATTTGCGGTTTCACAGTTTGTGTTTTGCAGTTTTTATGGCCATTTTTGCGTTTTTTACAATTACATATAAGGGAAGCAACTTTTAATGTCTTGAGATAACCTTTCATTAATCATGAATTCAACATAACTTCCGTTCAGGGGACAGCTACTCCAGCTATATATATATATTCTTTCTTTCTTTGTTCAAGTTTGAATCATTTCCAGGACACGCATTTTACAGATACAGTGGATCTGATTACCACATTGTTAATGGACTGTTTTAATTCCATACAGATACATGTTTTATAATTTGCTCTAATTGTGACGGTGTTGAACGCAGAATTATATCGTTAAATAACGGTGCAATGATCGTCTCACACATAATATAGAGGTGTAACATTATATATAAACTAAACTGGAACAAACATTAAATATTATTTCTATATCTTTTCGTTATATTAAATCACACTTATGTTTGTCTTGTCATCTTACAATTCAAAGAAGAATATATATTTGAATTTTCTCCATTTTTTTCTAGTTTTTGGGAGCTTTCTCAACTTATGACTGATACAAAACGAATTTCAAAATTTTGGGCTAATGAACTAATTATGAAATATAAATAAAATCAGAGTTTTATAGTAAGACTTTCAAAGTTTGTTATTATTTTTTTACAAAAAATTATTAATGGTCATATTTTCAAAAGCAGTAAATAAACATAAAATTTATTACATGCATAATTTTTATCACATTAAGCATTCAATTTCTGGATTGATAAACACAGATCATTAATGTCTGCATCTTATTTAAAGAAATACCGAAGACCTAATTAAATTACTTTGGATAGATATATATTTCTCTAAAATCTTCACAATGATAATAATAATTAAGGATTATTTTCAGAAGAGAACAAAACTATTTCGAAATGAACATTTATTATATAGTCTGGAATTACAATGACGATACACTCTGGAATATGTTTTATCTTTTATTTTAAGGCATAGTTTCAATTAGGTTCCACTTCAAGAGATTTTCTATATGTTTGTAGACAATATGCTAACACCAACAGTTGAATAAATCATAAAAACAGTTTGTATTAATTAAAGTATAACAAATATATACATCAATAAATGCATCAGAGAGTTACAGTAACTAAATAGTTACATTAATTAACATATCAGAAAGTTGCAGTAACTGAGTAATTGCATCCATGGACGCATTTTAATACATCATAAAGTTACACTAACTATTTTCTTCCTGTATGAAATTAACCAAAACATATTGAGAAATAGATCGAAAATAATGTTTTAGTGTTGAATGACTTACTTGTTTATGTGTTTAATATAACAATTTATGAACTAATTCGTGAAATAAATATGGTTACATTATTGTTGATGGATGCAATATCATTGAATGATATGTAACAGATTATTGAACGGTTCTTAGATTCATTAATTAACATTGAATTTTATAAAATCTCAATAAATTATAGAATGAGTTTCGTTGCGTTGCTTTTTGAAGTAACATACAGGTAACTTTAAATTCTAGAGTGGTATAAAATAGCTGAAATGTGTTCTCTCTGGGAAGAATTCAAGATGCACTTTTTTACGATACATTATACTATTTTATCAGTGAATAACGTTCTTAGTTTTTAAATATAAATATTAACCTTTACAACTGCTTTATAGCAGCGAACAACACGTTAACTTCAAGGTTCTGAAATACGCGGATCATGAATTTTGTGTTAAAAAGCTTTTCGAAATAAAATTTTATCAGAGAGTAATGCTCACACATTCTGCTGTACATTTAACAGCTGATGATTTAACGCACGGTCATGAAACCAGTCACTGAATAATTGCATTAAAATGTGTTAACAAGAGAATCACTGGAAATATAATATTTGGTTGGACGTGTGAAACGCTGGAAAACATGACGTCAGAACTGTCAAAGAAAAACTTAAACATTTGGAAATTCATTATTAGCACTGTAAAAAGAAAAGTGTTGTAATATTTTTTTAACCAATCTGTTTAACGTTAGTGTTATGAAATAAAAATAATGATAAAGTTAATGTTAGTGATCTCAAATGAAATTCGTGGATTAAATTAACGTTAGTGGTATAAAATAAGAACTGAGAGTGAATTTAAAATGTTATGAAATAAAAACCGTGGATCCCGTTAAGCCATTATAGTAAAATAAATTTTCATCAATTCCATTCCACTGTCATGAAAGGACGAGCCTGTGATCGTATAAAGATTAATTTATGTGTTATGTCGAAACTTTCGTAACGAGCATGTGAAAAGTGATATTTTTGTCTATCTAATACTGATATGCATAGAGGAAAACTACTGGAAAACATTAAGTTAGTAAGGGTAATGTATCAAAGTGTCTTAGCTAGAGCAACTGTTCTATAGACTAATTCATATAAACAATGCACTTAGCGTTTGTCCAGCACGAAATTCCCAGTTTAATTTCGGAGTAACTTTAAGATTGAAGTTTCGATGATAAAAACAAGAGTTGAAAGAACAACTCCGCCTACCCATAATAAAAATACTCCTTTCAGATCATTCAAACTCTGAGAATGCAACATCACCTGTGGCGATAATCCTTGAATGCACCTGGTGGCATTTTGAGTGACTTTTTCAACCTCTTTTTGGAAAATACCACTCTGTGTGAAATGGCCCAGCCTATAGAGAAAAAGAAGATTATTAACACTTTTTGTAAAAGACTACTCTGTGTGAAATGATCCAGCCTATACAGAAAGGAGTAACACATTGTTAGTACTGTTTCTGTAAAAGACCACTCTGTGTGAAACGATCCAGCCTATACACAAAAGAGCAACACATTGTTAACACTATTTTTGTAAAAGACCACTCAGTGTGAAATGACCCAAAATTATTATTGTAGGTAAAATAATATTTAGCATGTGACTATAACATTTTTATTCATTTCTTATATTCGTAAACTTTTTGCTTGTTTTCTTGTGTACTTGAATGACATATTTTGTACACAATGGGCTAAGTGACTCTATTGGGCAGGTATAACCATTCTTAATTTTGAACTGTAGACCAGAGGGAAGGTACCCACTCAGAAGCACCCGCAACTCTTGTCCGAATAGCGGGATTGAATGTCCCATTTATGACACACCTGTAAGCAGAAGTGTGAAGTGTGTTTAGTAGCATCACACCTCGAATTAGATCATTCATTACCTTATAAAAGAACATGCATGAAACTGGCCGAGCAATGATTCAGGTGTGTATCAACATGAAATGTGATTTACCAATAATATCTCAACACCATGCCTAGAGATCAAGACGAATGGTCTCTTTGAATTTAAGGAGACCATATTAATCAAACAACATCAACCGAAGTTGAACTGTGGGGATTCTTCAATCAATCTGCTTTTTAGATTATAGATATGTGAAATGAAACATCTTAGAACAATAGTCTTAATAGCCAAATCTTGTACAACAAAGTATATAATGGTGGAGTATAAACCCTTGAAAGATTAGCAAATGTATGTTACCTATTAACAGTCAGAGGCATCGGTATTAACTATCAAATTTGTGTAATAAATAATTAAGTATTATTACTAGACGTTTACACGGTGTTAAACTTTTAATTATCGTAAGATGTCCCCAAAAGTTTTCGATGGTGGTGGGACAGGTATTTGAAAAATAGATATGCTCCTGTGGCAGAAAAAAATAAAAATTTGCATACAAGAGTTTTTGAGGGTGTTTTGAGAAACTGTTAAACATTTTTTTCTAAGATCAAGTATTCCCATAGAAAAAAAGGGGACAATTATAGGAGGGTCACTAAAATTTAGAATTCGACATTTCTCCTTATTGATTGGTAGAAACCTACAAAAAGAAAAGACACCATACTCTCACTGTACACAATGTCTTTATTTATTTTAATCCAAAATCAGTACTTATTTGATTTTTTATAATCTGGAGGGAGGGGTTGAAACCAAAATATCCGTCCAAAATAGAAATTAATATCAAATATAATATCTCTGCATCTAATTTATGTAGATCTAAATCTGTTGTCTATATTTAGGTTTGTTGGGGTCAGGGATCCAAAATATAATGTTAGAGCTCTAGCAGAAAAGTATAAATAGATATCTTTAAATAGAGTGTATAATCCATTCAGCAGGCAGGTCGTAGAAAGGCCAGTAAGCAAATCATATCTGTCTTTGAGAACAATAGTTGATGTAAAGGTCAAATAAATACGTAAATCATGTCGTATCTGACACATATTTATAATTACAGATTTTAGCTGTATAAACTAAATTACCAACTAAATGTTAACAAAAGATCGACACAGTTGTCTCTCAAAAGAGACACTTAACCAAGCCCCCCCCCCCAGTGGCACAGCGGTATGTCTGCGGACTTAAAACGCTATAAACCGGGTTTCGATACTCGTGGTGAGCAGAGCACAGATAGCCCATTGTGTAGCTTTGTGCATAATTACAAACAAACAAACAGTTAACCAATGCCCATGATTACTGAGTTTCTATGCTAAGTAGCAAGTAAAATTTACTGAACACCGTTAAGTTTGTGTGAACTCATTGCTTTAAGTAATTTGAGTACAAAAAATAATAATTATTTTAATATCCCATATAGCAATACCAAAGGATAAATATTTAAATATGCAAATATCTTCAGCTTTAATGCAATGAAAGTGTTAAACATATTTGGAATAAAGTGGTATTGAATTGTGTTGTATTGTTAGACTAATTCCTTATATTTCCAAATTCCAGTTAACTATTTTTTGAGTAAGCGAGATTGGTTAAAGTTCCTGTAATTTAAAAATATATAATACATTTGACCATGTGTTACTAGCAAAGACGTTAGATATACATTTAATAAAAACAGATATGGAAGTAACCTAATAAAAACAGGTAATTGCCATAAAGTAAAAACTACAATTATATTTTTAAACATGAAGATAGACACTTCAGATTGTATTATAAGTGTCTTATTTATGTTCTTTGACCTCAAAAACGTAGGTATAGACACTAGATTTTGACATAAATTAGATGCGGATATATTATACTTGATATTAATCTCTATTTTGGACGGCCATCTTGGATTTTCACCACCCACCTCTCTCCAGATTAATGAAGACTATAGAAATGAAATACATACTGTTTATGGATTCAAATAAGCAAAGATGTTGTGTAGTGATAGCGATGTCTCTTTTTGTTGTATGTTTCTGCCAATCAATAAAAAGAAAATTGTTGAATTCTAAATTTTAGTGATTCGACGAAATTTGTCCCACTTTCTCGATGGGAGGACTTAATTTTAGCGAATGTCTAACAAACAATCTTATTGAATTCAACACCCTCAAAAAACCTCTGTATAAAAAATTTCGTGTTTTGTGCCAGAAGAGCACATCTCATCTGATGTTTGTTAGATATCAGCCCCTATTCATGCAACTATTCATTAAACAACGCTGATACATTGAGAAACGTCAAACACAAACCGTTGTGGTGTAATTAAATTGAAATCAAAGAAGAGAAAACTTATAATCCAAATAAATGTTAGATGATAAATAGTTGTTGTTTTGCATTGGGCTATCTGTACTGTGTCCACCGCTGGGGATCTAATCTAAAATTTTGCGTTGTAATTCCGTAGATTTACAGCTGACCCACAGAAGGACTAAATGATAAATAGAGATTTCTAATGTTCACGATATTTCTGGGTGGGATTTTAATCCTAAATTACTTGAAAGAATTTTATCGATTATAGAAACTAAATCACAATATTAAGACATCTGCCGTCTATTGTTAATGACGTTAATTTCAGATTCAACTAATAAATTCAAACTTTACAACGAGATTATATGGATAATACAACAATGTTTTACACGTGAATTATTCTTTAATATTCAATATTTTTGACATTCAACCAATAGTCTCATTTACAATTTTAATTATTCGTCAAGTTTGAGAATAGCCAAAAATATCTACAGTAACTGATATTTCATACAGCACCAAGATGGTGTTGGCCATTTTTATTTTTCATTCCTACTGTTGCAGCCCCAAAGGTTTATTAGAAAGATTCAAGATTTAGATAAGTTTGGTAGATTTCTAGAATTTAATGTTTTAATGGTAAATGTTTTGAATGTAACCTACCTTTGATTTAAGTTTTCCATCATATATCCAGGGACGTTCTTATTAACAGCAATCACCATGAACTTGGAAAGAAATGTTTCACTTGCTACATGAAAATGACAAGACTTTCCACTAGAAAACCGTTCATTCAGAACTCCTATTATACCTAGTTGTGAGGCAATGATGATAAGCCTCCCAGACTCCACTTTGTCTAAGTTTTCATCCGAGATGAGATCCCTCCACGGTAGTCTGGAGTTTGGTTGTGCAATGATTCTCTGCCAAATAGCTTTGAATATCTTATTCTTGCTATGCTAGAAATTGAAAAAAAACATGAAGACTTACTTGTGTAAGCAAAGTATGGTTCAATATTTAACTCTTTTTAATAGGGTTGATTCCCTGAATACATATATTTGTTACTCTATAAACCGTTACGATTACTATATAAAACTTTAGATTTTTTTCACCTCTCACAAAGGAACTGTTACGGTTGTAGTTCCTCAATGTGCTTCCTGAACAAACAAGCTGTTCCAAGAATAGCCATGAGTTTTTTCATTAGCAAGCTGTTCTGTACTTACAGTGCCTACTGTTCGCTTGACTCAATTATCTATCTCTTCAATTTATCTCCTTCGCTGGTTTTACTCACCAGCGAGAAAAAACGTCCACAAGCTGTCAATCACACCTTTAAATTAACGGCTGTTTTCGTTATAAAGATGACCAAAGAATCTAAATCACAACATCGCTGTGGGAACATTATAATGTAACGGTCAATTCCACTATTGTTAGTAAAGAGTAACCTCAAGAGTTGGCAGTGGGAGGTATTGACCAGCTGCATTCCCTCTAGTCTATCACTGATAAGCCCCCCCCCCCCAGTGGCACAGCGGCATGTCTGCAGACTTACAACGCTAGTATCCGGGTTTCGATATCCGTGTGTAGCTTTGTGCTTAATTACAAACAAAGAACAAAGAATCTATCACTGATAAATTAGAGACGGCTATCGCAGATAGCCCTCATGTAGTTTTGGGTGAAATTCAAAACAAACAAACAAAGCAACAGTTCCAATGGAGTTTGATCTTCTTAAATGTGATCTTTAAAACTGTCTGTCGTTCATGTAGAGTGTAGGGTTTGTAAGGAATGTGATCTAAGATTGACTTTGTTATCCCTTGTAGAATCTGTTAGAACAAAATCGCGGTGTTTTACGTGCTAATTCTTAAAGAACTAAATTTTTTATAACAAAAATTCAACATAAAATTAATTCCAAGAATAAAAAGGAGTTTAGGTATATCGATAAAAACCGCATTGATCACTCATTTACTTGATATAAAGAGAAACAAACCGATTAGTATAGATAAATGCTGCTATACTTTAACCCTTCTTAATTAAAAAACTAAATTCACATAAATAGAAGAATGTTAATCAATTTGTGAAATCTCCGTCCGTATTTAATTTGTCTCAATATTTTGTTTAGTTCTTCCCTATACATACACAAAAAGAAGATCACTAAAATTAGATGTTACAATGGCACAAAACTATTTTTCCAGTCGGAACTTAGATATTGGTTTAATGAATTAACCTGTAGATCCTCATACTCGTGTATGTTATGAAGTTTATTTTTCAAATTTTCATAAAAATAGGCTTATAACTGCAGCAAAAAGATATATACAGATATTAAATATATTTATTTTGTTACGGTTGTGAACCTATTTTTTTATTAAAACTAATTTTCTATACCACAATATGTCCAACAAAATTAATTTTATTTAAGGGGGGAGAGTAACCAATCACTTTTAATGTTTCAAAGATTATCGCGTTTGACATCACGACGAAAGAAATAAGCCGAATTTATTTCACCATTAAAGATGAAATTGTGAATTGTTATTGTGAACCTGTGATTTTTGGACTCGAATTTGAACGAGCTCTGATAAAATGTTTGTATGTTAACTAGTGGCAAAAAAAAAAGCAGAAAGAAGCCCAGTAACAATGAGCTTCTGAGCCGCTATTCTTTGAATTGATAAAAATAGCTTACCTTATAGTTATAGAAATAGTATTAATAATGCATATATACTTTCACGCACATCTAAATATTTTAAACTTGCTCAGACTGTTAGTTCTACTACTCAGCTTCAACACTGATACTTTAGCATTGTTTTTCCCCGTGACTCATTATCTTGCACATTAACAACAACATGATAACCTCACGTTACCGTAATAAGAAGTACTACGTAAGTGCATATCATTTACGTCATTAAAGCAATAATGGTCTCAGTTACTAGAGGTCGTTTGTAATAGTGAAATCATTTAATTGTTATAAATTATTAGCACAACATGATTACACTTACCTGAAGAAGAATTTCACTTGCGCTACCACCTTCTATAAAAATGGGAACATCAGAAAATTTCAGGACGTCTTCCAGCTTATCAATACGCTCTCCTTTGTTCTTTATTACAAGCGAGGATTGGAGATGACCCCCGAAAGAGGCCATAATGACGACGACAGCAACAAGCCAAACAGAGATCAATAGTTTCCCCGATACACTTACAGGAACTTTTGAAACTCCTGAAAAAAATACTTCAGTAGTTTTCTGATAAAATAAAATATGAATTAATTTACTGAAAAAAAGATTCATCTTAGAATTATGAATTACTGTGATACGAGTAGTGCTGAAGTTATTACCTTGATACCATAGGCACTGGAAAAGACTCCACAGATGTCCATAAAAAACGCTGAAGAAGCTGTCACGCTCTTTTCTTTCCTTACTGTTTACAGTAGTTATGAATGTAAGCATTGCTGCTAAAACTAACAGCGCGATGCCTAGGATGAGCCAAACCTACAGAGATAACAAAAAACACAAAAATGTCCCATTTAGTTGTAAAAACGTAAACTGCATCAGTGTGTGACATTTTTGAAACGACAGAACTAAACAGAATTTGAAAATTAAATATAACGTACTTCAGTTTTATATTTTCATTTTACGTACAACCAAAAGGTGTACATCAACAAAATTGATTTTTAAAAGATTTAAGTTTACTTTATGTCTGTATATATGTGTGTGTGTTATACAGGCATACCATGTACTTTCTACCTTCAGTAGTGATATACAGTTATTCCAAATTTTAGGTTATCTAATTTCCGCACTGTCATGGCGACTACAAGTGGCCCAGAAAAAGTTTGTTAACTTAATGCTGCTATTCATTACTTCGCTTCTCTGCTCCCATAGGAAAAACGTGCACTTGAGACTTCGTTGCTAGAAAATTATGACGTTAAACCATAGGGGGTACAGTTGACCAATACTTCCCGAAAGCAGGGGTCAAAGGTAACGCTGTCCCTTTGACAAAGAAAGCTGGCAATGATTTTAAAGTCAAGCGCGCTTTCTAAGTTCATTTTCCCGCTAGACGATTTAGAAAAAAAAAGAAGAGACTGTTTTTGAAATCAACGTGTAAAATCAAACACAAATCTGTTGTGTGAGAGAGAAAGCTGCAGGACTAAATACAATCTAAATGGAAGGGACTTGTCCACGTGATGTGGTAGGTACGCACGCTCAGTTTCAGTGTTTTTGTGTTGTAATAAATACAGATCTTGCTCATTTCATATAAAGTGTCCAGACCCTGTTATTTTCACACTTACACCGAAAGCACAGTCGAATACTCTCATTCATTGGCCCGAACCTGCAGTTATTCGCGGGTATATCCGTCGGAAATCAGCTTGATCTGAAAATACCAAACACACACACACACACACGTATATACATATATCTAAAAACACTGTCTTAATACCTTCCATTCTAGAGCTAGCAAATATCCAAACGAATCAGTAGAGGTCGAAGGTCGTCCAGTGAGTATTCCATAGCTGTCCACTAGGAGCGTGTTAGTGAACTGCACAACCTGCTGACGATCATATCCAGCGGTGGTAGGTCCGACAGAAATATTCGCTTCCTAATATAAAGTACTTCATGTTATGTAATATATTCTTAATTCAATTAAAATGCGCCTAAATTATGATTAATTATGCTAATATAAGATATACCTTTTTATCGCATGATATACTGGTGGTTGGTGAAATATGGAGTGATAAGAAATATTAGAAACACAGTTGTAACTATTCGCCCTGACTCGCGTTCAATAAATGTATTGACAATCATGATATCTTGTAAGTATTGAAGCGATTTACGGAGAAATATGAATAACTAATTTGTATACGATTTTTCCTGTAACACTGTGTAATAGCTTACAACACAGCAGGAAATAATTGTTTTCGTTTGTCACGACTAAATACTGTTTTGAGTATACAGAGCTGTGTGTAGCGCCGCTATGTTTCAAGAAGTGACAAGTGGATCGACGCTACATTTGAAAATTCATAGCGATTACAGGTAGCGCCGCTTCATTTTACGTCTGTGCTAAACGCTACTCGCTACATTTTTAATAGAAAATATAAATTATTGTGTATTGTATATATATATTTATATTTTGTATACATAATATATAATATTTTATATATTATTATTTGTTTCGGACTTAATTATGCTCGCCAATCAACTATCTGACATTCTCAGTTGATTGGAACGGAAACTATGGCTTGCCGGCTATCCGTGACGTATTACTACGTAATATATATATAGCGTTCTTTGCATTTGTTTATAATATTGTTATATTTAAAATCTACTGTTTATATGTTCACTTTAATTCATTATTATCTTAGAAAGTTTATTAATTTATTTTCATGTAAAAATTTAGTTTAGAAATACTGTTAAATGTTTTATTAAATTCCTGACCTGGATAATTCTTGCAGAGGCTTTTCTTAGTTAACAAGTTTCAAGCGATAATACAAGATATTCATCTGAACCTGCTGGTTTATATTTCATGTCGGATAATTAGTTAAGAAAATCCCAGACATATGTATTATTATAAATCGTGATTTACAATATATAATATTATATATTATTATTAATAAAATAATAAATAATATATATTTATATTATTATATGTTTATTATAATATGTATAATAGTCTTATATTATTTTGTATATTGTATAATAAATTGTATATGATTACATTTACACTGCATTTTGCTTACGAAAACAATCAAACGTGTTACGTGATGCAGTTGTTGTCGTGAACTTATTAGCTGTCATCATATTCATTTACTTTTTGACGTTGTGTTCTTTAATCATTGAATGTATCGAAGACTGCACGGTTGTTAACTGATTTCCTCTCATCATTCACGTGTATGGATAGGCTGTTCTGGAAAGTCTGTATTATGTTATTGTAGCAAGAAAGTATTACCATTTACCAATAAATTTGTGTTTTTCATTCTTACATTATCCATTGAAAATATATATATAGCGGGCACAGCTATGTGAGTATATAGGAATTTTATATATGCGTGTGTTGTGTGTGTGATGCTGTTTACAACTGAAGATTCTACTTCTTAAAGTTAGCTTGTTGCACTATCTATACTTTATAGCAGTCTTAAATGTACTTAAACAAATACTAGCAGTCCTGTTTCAGAATTGAGGATTACAAGAGCCAGTGGTTATCGCGCTGAACCTCGGATGTGCGGGTTTAGGGTTCACATCCCGTTCCGGGGAGAAAGAAAATCGCGCTACGCAAAACCGGGCAGTGATATTCCACTATTTGGTCAGAGTTGGCGGAGGGTGCTGTTTACTAGCTGCCTTCCCTTTCGTCTATCAGTTAATAAGTAAGGACGGCTAGCTTTCCAAAAACAGACATGAAATGCTTTCCCCCTGGCGAGAATTGGCATTAGACAATTCCCACCGTTTAATATTTTCAAGGATTAAATATTTATTTCCTAATCTAGAATGGTTAAGACTTTGTAGAATGTTCTGAATTAAGATTAAATTTTTAAGTTCATGACGGGTGAGTTTCAACTTTGTAGAGTGAAATTTAAATGATCTGTTTTTGCGTGACTTAAGCGTAAATCACACTTATTACAAGAGTTAAAATCTCAAATCTTTTCGCACCCGGTATATTAAACAACTTATTGTTAAATTTCTCACTGATTGACATATTTAAATAACCCGATTAATTCCAGAGAATATGTTTCTTTCGTATTGTGCTTTTGAAATAGTTTGAAAGATTGAAAGATTTTGTTAAAGTTAGTATCGATTCTTACGTATATCTGTAAACAAAGATAAGCCCAATTAAAACATTACCCACAGCGTTATAATTAACTTAGAAATGGGTTAAAGAAAGAAAATTTCGCCTAGATTTAGTTTAGGACAAGCTTGCGAAATGTGTTGGTCCCAGGTCAACTTTTTTTCCACAGAATTAGTTTATACATTACTTAAAGTTTGCTCCCGAAAAGTACACCCTCGATACATAAAAAACAAACTGAAATTGCACAGTTGGAAGCTTAACATTCTCTTCTAAAATTAAGCAATAAGAGAAATGTACAGGATATGTATTTCCTCCAAACTCACGAAAAGAGGAAATTCACCATAAATATTTGAACTGTTTTAAAATTTCAGCGAAAATTATCCCCATGCTGTCGTCATTGGAATTACGAAATAAACTGTGCATCGTTTTAAAACTTATAAACGTCACGAGGAAAGTTTTAGTAAATAAAAACTAACCCAAAATATAAAGAAGTGCATTTCTTGAATTCATTATTTTTAAATTATGAATCGACCTGAATGAAAAAGAAATCTTACATTCCGTTGCATCATTCCCATCATTCCTGTAAAACTTCCATTGGGGAGCTTTGATCCCCATGTCTGGTCACTAGGCTCCTTGAAGGTATATCTAAAAATATAAAAACAGTTATTCTAAACAAATATTTATATATTTCATAAACAACAAATCAAATCATGTTAATTTTAATACCTAAGAGCAAAATAAAGTAATATAACAGCAACCCCTTATCTTGATGGCAGTGAATGTTGGTTTAAAAATGACGCGTTTAAAGAATCCACATCTATTTCATATTTAACACGTTTGAAACTAGCTAAGGAGTTGCGAGTGTTTGGTTTTGTTTTTTTACTACTAAGAGACAAAAATTGCACTCACCGGATGTTGAGAAGTTTTATTGTGTCTTGAGTGTTTTAGTGTTACTACAGAGAAGGAATCTTTGTAGTGTTTGGGTTGTTGCCTGCTATTTTGAGGCAGTGCATGGTGCACTGTTTTTATTAGTCAGTTTGATTTTTGTGTCAGCTTCATCTGAGAAACAATTGCTTATAGAAACATAATGAGCTTGTTGGTTTTTCTTGTGGAATCCGGTTATGCTTTTTCTTTAACGTCTTGGGACCCTGTGTGCCAAAGAAAATAAGCTCGTGTTCTACTCTAAGCGAAATAGGTCTCAAGTCCTGGATTAGTGAATAGAGGTTAAATCTAATAGACGGTGTGTCCTTTTCATTCTTTGAGTTTTTCTTCCCTAGAAACTTCTCTCAACGCTCTGCAATTATTGGACTTACTGCCTAAGTTTAAGAAAAAAATGAATTAAGAAATAAACTAAGTAGACATTTGTTTCTTCTTTGCTAACCTAGATGAATGATTTATTGAAAAAACACTACATCATTCTTACCTCTTTATTGGAGAGGGGGGTGTATACGACAAGGTCGTGTGATGCATAAGCACTGCATGCAGTGACCTGATAGCCGTTAGGCGAAAGTATCGCTAATTTTGTAAGTCGGCGTTACCGGGTTAAAGGCCCTCCATGACCAAGATCCATTAACTACCTGATCGAAGTGTCTCTGAAGTGGGTACACCCTGAGCAATTATATTCTCGTGGAGATAGGCAGAATGGATACAGAATCTAGGAGACGGATATATCTGATTTCAAAACCCCAGCCATGGGTCAAATGGCACTGATACCCATCTGAGGAACTAGGGAGACAACTCGGGCAAACATTCCTAAGCCTCAGGTGACCCTCGCACTGAGAAGCTGACTGATTGCAAGGTGTGCAGTTTCTAACGAGGCCGTCTTGTGTGCGGACAGGGTGGCGCCAGACTGACATATTCGATCTTGTTGGATATCTCTTGCTTCTTCCCTGACATGTGGTCTTGTCAGAGTAACAGTACATTTTTCCATTCTATAAAATCTACTGTGGATAATCAATTACATAGGATCATTGCCGGAACTACAGAGATCGTGCTCTGAGCTGGAGATCATTCTCAGCAACTACTGGAAAGGGAAAGTGTAGAAGGAGAAGACGAGGGGAAGTTAAGAGAGGGGGAAAGAGGTGAACTGGGACAATAAGACAGAAAAAGAAAGTAGTTCGGATTGGGCTGAAACATGTTAGAGAGGAGTACTGTAATTGCCGTAGTGCCAAGCAGAGAGGTCTCATACTTGGAAAACTACCCTCCAATTTCGATTCTTTCATGCTGAAGAAGACATATTTTGGAGAAAAATCAACCATAAAGCCTTTTGAATACAAGAGCTGTGTGAATTCAGCACCAAAAGCATACCATAGACGAGCCATCCTTATTAACCATGATATGACGCACAGTGTGATAGACAAAACCAAGTGGAATAAGGAATATAGGGAGATACATAGGTTACATGTTAATAACTTGAGGTGAGATTTGTTAAATATACATCTGGGAGTGGACAAGATTACCAATAAATAGAACTGGGATTTTTTTCAGAAGTTGCAGGTCTCTCATGAGACAGTACCATTGTATGTGATGACTTCAATGCCAAGGCAAAAAGAGTGGGGGAATGGCATAGAGAACAGACAGGGGATTGCTTTATAATATGCACTCCTGGAGTAAGACTTGACATGTATCAGTGATGGCCAGTCAACTGGATTAGCAACAAGACCAGATGACTCTGACAGAGTGATAGATCTTGCCTCAGTGTCACAGCAAGCAATAACCAATACACAGTGGAATGTGCTGGGACAGCATGAAAGAGATCACCTACCTGTTTAGGAAGACTGGCAGCCATAAGACAAAGAACGTGCCAAGGGCATTCGCTTACACTATATGCAGAATGGTGGATCTCTTGGCTTCCTTCGACAAAGTGCAAATAAAGAAAGAAAGAAAGGAATCAGTTTAGTCAACCACCATGGTGGACGGAGAAAGTTGAGTAAGCTTGGAAGAGGAAAACAGGTGCTGTATGGAGGTTGCAGAAATTAAGAAAACAATTATCAAGCACAGATGAAGAGGTAAAAGAAGAACACACTGACAAAAGAAGTTGAAATACTTGCAGTTTCATCTAAGTGGGACAAATAGGAGCAGTTCACCAAAGATGTGGGGCTGATAAGGCACTTTTGAATGAATTGAAAAGATTCAGGCCACACAATACCAAACATACAAAACAGAGATGAGGTCATCATGAAGACTGATTAGGAAAAGGGTGAAACCTTTTTGAAAGTTTTATTGAACAGACAGATCAAGGAAACAGTGAGGCAAGATGTATGGTTAGAGAAGGCTTGAGGAATATGGTGAATTCAGAAGAGTATGAGGATATGATCAGTATTGAGCAGGTCAAAGACATATTTAAGTAGAGTAAGGCCCTGGTGAGGTACAGTACCATCACATCAAGGAACTAGATGACATCAATTTGGGTGAGATTGTGGGAGAATTCAACAACAGTATAAAAAAGTTCAACATTTCCAGGAGAATGGCTACATAGCTACCTGAAACCATTGCCTAAACCAGGGAAGGATCACACACAAATGAATAGCTACTGCATCATTATGATCCAAAATGTGTATGGCAAACATTTTGAGAATATTATTGCTAGACAGTTGAAGCTTGACTTGGAATAGAGAGAAATCCTGCCAAACATTCTTGGAAGTTATAGGCTAAAGAAGGACATATGGGCTAATGCAAGAGTCTTTGCCTATGATGTGTATGAGGGTTTTCAGAAAAAATCTGAAATGATGGTTGCTACACTGGACTTGGAGGATGTATGCAATATTATGAATTACGACTTTCTGATGTACATCCTGGTGGATTACGATTTAGACATCTGGATAGTCAGTTGGATTGCACTGTTTGAAAAGAAAGCCGCCCTCTGCACAGGTATGTGGACATCACAGCTGTAGAATATTTTACTGGTACTGCATCGGAGATCAGATATGCAGTCAGTGGGCTTGGAAAGAACATTTACATTTACAGGAGTGGGCAGGACAGAGCTCAAGTTGCAAGAGAGCTACAAAGTACAAATTACAGTATTTCAGATTGGTGTGAGGAAACTAATACTGTAATCAATCCAGATAAAGAATGCATGCTATGGTGCTCACTTAACAACCAGATAATGAATTCTGATGTCCCAGAAGTAGCGATCAATGTATCCACTATAAATGATAGAAGCCTATCCTTCGAGAATCGTGTGGATGCAATTGTGAAGAAGGCTTGGGGCCTTGAAAGTCATGGCTACTGCAGATATGAAGAAATGATTGCTGTTCATCCTCTACCAACACCTCGTGTTATCAACTTTGAAGTGTGGCCTTGGACTACTAATGCTATCAAAGATACAATTGGAAAAACTCGAGTGTATTCAAAATGAGTTAATGAAGACCATCCTGGACTGTACTAAGAACACACCCTTCATTGAGGAAAGACATGTAGTTTTCCAGACGAGAGCATACTTAAGAATAACAGTTAACGAGAACTCCCCCACCCTCTCCAAGATGTCCTGAATGATACAAAGGAATGCAGGATTAAAAGAGGAATGTCATGGTTGGCAGAGGCTAAGCCTACCATTAAGTTGGTGTGTGGGTTGGATGAAATTGTACGTGGAAAACAAACAATGAGTATAGACCTGAAGTGAAATGGACTTATAGGCCAGAGTTGTGAACCCTCTTGGACGAAAATGCAGAAAAGTGCCGTCAGCTTCGCTGATATTGATGTCAGACAACTGACTGTGTAAAATTTGAAACCGGAGATCCAGTGATTTACAATGACGGTTAGGTTATCAGAAATGAACATAAATGATGGGCTTTTTCGGCCAGGCAGTCCAGACATGTTGTTGCTGAACAAAGTGGAGTATGTAGTATCACAACGTCAAATTTGCGAATGGAGAATGAAGCCGCATCAACTGCCATGAAGTGAATTGAAGACCAACCTGCCAGATGTGCAGTAATTATCACCAATTCACAAAGTATGCTGCATAAAATAGAGGTCGGATGGCTCAAGGTGGAATGCTACATATCTGCAAAAGTGAGACGGGAGAAAGTCCTGACTGAGAGAGAAAGAGGGCGGGCGTACAATCAATATGTCAGAGGAAGAAACGGCACTCCCACATTTCGATGGCTACTGAGGGTGGGGACAGAGCACGTGTGTAAATGTCCCAAGTGACCAAATAGTTTTTCTCACCACTTTACTATGCGTAATTAATTAATTGTTTCTACTAATTTATCATGAGTATCCTTGCTATTGAAGTGTTGGGATGTATGGTACCTTAGAACCATTGGTTCAATAAACTCGACTTTAAACTTTTACTTTTTTAAAATAATTGTACTGCAGCAGTTTAAAAAATATCATAGTTGGACACTGTCACAAAAATGATCGATTTAAAGTTCGTGAATATAAATAAATGGTTAAAATACTTCTATTGTACACAGTGTTAAATGTGATACGCGAACTGCTTTATTAGGAATGCACTCTGAAGTTTTTCTGTATTACCAGAAGAGTCGCTAGACACTAACACATGGGGCCCATGCCCCGAATCCCCAGTTGTTGTCTTGAAAAATCAGAATTGAAAGCCATGATCGATATCATACTGAAACGCAGAAAATTCCCGCGCCTATGGGCCCGAGCCCCGAATCTTTTTAAGTACCTAGTGACGCTTATGTGTGTTACTTTGTTATAGTCACTTAGTTCTGTTAAGAAAAAATAGTTAGCAATATTTTCATATCTTTTTGTTATAAATTATATTTTCTTCATCAACTGCTAGTAATAAAATACTGTTAACGGCCTAATCTTTCTCATTTCAGGTTTAGTTCATTTTCAGTTCACCCTTCTGGTTAGGACTATTTTGGGGTAAAATAAAACCTAAATGATTATCATCTCCAGTTATTTTAAACTTTAGCTATGACTACAAACGATGACGTAGTTCAGGGATATGAATGGTCAGAGAGAACATTTACTGAATCGGGCGGGTGTCCAGGGCTGAAGTCCTTGGAAGCTTTGTTTTTTTTATCTCTCAACATTAAATTATCAGGCCCAAATGGCTACTGCTAATCAAGTTTTTATCAAACTGACCCTTTTATTTAGAAAAAGGTGTTCCCACACATTTCCAAGAGTTTTACAACTGACCAATTTGAGTTTAGGTAAAAGCGGGTATGGTGTTCAGTAACCTTCAAAAGTGTATGAAATTAAAATTTTATTGACACCTTTCAATTCAAACATTTAATGAAATCAATACTACTCGTGTTGTCGTTTTCTTAGTGTAAAACTATACAATGAACTACTTGCACTCTGTCTACTGCGGATAATCGAGCCCCGGATTTTAGCATTATAAGTTCGTAAACGCACCGCTGATCTACTATGGAACACTACTTGTGGAACAATAATCGAACAGAAATTATTGTATTATGCTTTGCCCCATATTTCATGGATGTAAAACTTCACCATGAACTTTTTACCAACCACCATTGTTTGTTGTAGAACATGTTACAAGTTACACGCATTTTTTTTTTATTGCGTGAGTTAGCTGAAACTTCTCACATTTAAATTATTAATAAGAAATAAGTGTAAAAGTCTGTTTTCTGAAAACTTCACGTTAAATATCTATATTTCTTTATCAGCTTATATTACTACAACGTACTGTTTAAATGTCTCAAATAATGCTTTAGTTCTTTACCGCATAATTTACCTAACACTTGCTTCATTTGTTTGAATAATATCAATCCTTTATGACATTCTCTAATTCAGTGAAAAGTATGTCTGTGTGAAGTTCTATGACACAAATGATAACGCACTAGGCAAGATGTAATAACAATATTGTATATCGATATTAATCAAACAAATATATCACGTCATATCTGTTTGCAAAGAACGAACGCAAGTCATAACCTAAAGTCATAATTTATGACCATGATCAATATGCAGTTATTTATTCATAGTAGTGTACAACTAACATTTAAACTTGCATGATGCCACGACACATAACATTAGTCAGACTCAGAGCTGAGAGCGTCATTGATTATCCTTCGGACAGATTTATATGTTAAATGACCAGTGAAAACTTTTGCTTACAGGTTTAAAATTTACATTCAATGTAAAACATCTGTAACGTTAAAAATAATTCCATGTCTATACATTTTGTGGGATGATTTCAGTGAAGAAGCACAATTTGTAAATCAAAAATGTCGGATAACAGTCTAAATGTTAGTATTTTAATTGTGTTTCTATTCACCAATGTCCAATCCATATTTCAGTTGATTGGACAAAATATGGAAATTATTCAGGAATCGATGGGTTTTTTTTTGCTAATCGCTGTTATGTAACGAAACCTTTTGGGGTCATTACTCCAAATTTCTTTCCATGATGGTACAGCATTGTCCAATCTCAAACACAATTTATGACACAATTCGTGCATAGAACATTTTTATTTTGTGGAACACATTTGCCCGATTTTGGCGAGTTGTTATTGGCGCAACATCAGAATATTCGCGAATAGTTCTAGTCAACAAACAAACACGGGGAGCAGTGTCCAAGCCCACCCACTCCTCCCAGCGTTCTCATCAAATGATACTTGACGTTGAAAACAAAACGAAAATCCGGAAATTTCGGGAGGAATCTCAATTCCGCATAGTTGGAGTAGTTTTTATATAGACACTTACACAAGCATACAATAAAGATGTCTTCCTAGCTAAATCTAAAACTGGAATTCAGTTTTCAGTTTATTTTTTGATGAGGGTGAAGCGTGTTTTGAAAATGCATAGGCATACCATAGGAGAAAAAAATACTATAACCAGCCGAAATGAGTAGTTTTGAGTAATTCTAGTTATTTTCAGTCCAACTGACTTGTTGATTCAAATTGTCAAAAGCAGTGGGAGCCAACTGACCAACTGGTGAGTCCTAATTAATTTCATCAGACTATATGTATTTTGTAAAATATCATTTTTTGAAACAACTGTCTTACAGAGAAAATTCCAGAAATCAAACCGTGCCAGACCAACACAAAGTCAGTTCGATACAATACCGTATTGTCTGACATTCACCATTTTCTTGATAAAAAATATAGCAGTGAAGTACATTGTTGTGTGATATGGCTTACATAGAAGGTGTAACACAAAAGTTCTCACGAACTTTACATTCTCACATAGACACTTTAAATACAAAGGTTTATTACATTATTTATAATCTTACATAGTAAATGACATACGATGGTGTCACGTAATCGTTATATTTCTGAACAAAAAAGTAGCATACCTTATAATGTGACATTTGTTATATCCTTACATCGAAGAATATGGCAGACAAATATTCTCTATGCTACATGGTTGAAAGATTTATAGTTAGAAAAATAATGACTGATATAATATTATTATATTGCCATGAGGATAGAGACTGTTCGTCATTCGTGATGTATTTTAATTATGATATTTCAAAGATTTTAGGACAAATGATAATACGCCACTGATGTTTGAGTACTAAAACGAAATAAAGGGGAAAAATCTAAGTAACTTTAAACCAACATCACAAATATTTTGCATAATACTGCAAATAGCTATTTAAAGTGAAGAAATAAGTTTTTTATTGAAATTTTGTAGCGCAAAACTACGTAATGGATTATCTATGCACTGCTTACCGCGGGGAATCAAGCCCCGAATTTTAGCGTTCTAAGTCCGTAAGCTTACCGCTGACCCATCGGGGGACTTTCTTTTAGGTCTTTGTGTGTTACTTGAATTAATCACATGAGCAAAACGAATCTTCCAAAATATACAACGAATTATAATATTTCAGTATGAGAAGAATAATTTCGTTTGTTATAAGAGTAGAAATATATCCAGTGTAGATTTTACCGAAGATGAAGAGATCTGGCTAGGTATCTAAAGACGATTGCCATTGGTCCATTAATCGTCAGCTCGCCAGATTCACTGTCTTCTACTCTGACAAAAGGAATCCACTGAAAGAGAAACAAAAATTAGAGAATGAGAAGCACCATTGATACGACAAACTGCATACCTTTTTATAATTGAACTTTCCAGAATGAAAATACACATATCTTCAGCATTATGTTTAAAAGACATGAATGAAAATTATAAGCAACATTAACGTTTCGTTGAAATATACAATAAAATGCGTTTATACAGCACTCCAGACCGTAGCTAGCCAGCAACATTAAACAAATCAATAGCATACAGCGGGGGTCTCCAGACCGTAGCTAGCCAGCAACATTAGCGTTTCATTGAAATATGCAATAAAATGCGTTATACTGAAAAAATTAAACAAATCAATAGCATACAGCGGGGGGTCTTCAGACCGTAGCTAGCCAGCAACATGTTGCTCGCGACACAACAAGAGCTGCTTGCAGTCTAGTCATTTAGACCAGTGAGTCAACAATGTAATTAGCACCTTGTTTACAGTTTTGAACGTGGCTCACAAGGATGGGGGACTCCTGCTATATAGGATATAGAAGAATAAAATAATCTACATAAATTCATATAGAATATCCAAACACATGGTAGTGTGTCGTGCGGCCAAAACAACCTGCAGGACACACTGTGTGTTATTAACAGAAGTGATAATTTAGCGATTTTCCGTTTTCTGTATTTCGGACTGTGGTAATCCAAAGTATCACATGCTTTCATTGGATATGCTCTACTAAAATCTCATTTCACATACCAGATTTCCAGGCAATCCATTAAGAAATACACGATATATAAAATCTCCAATTTTAATTGAATTTTTCCTTTTTTTTTCACTTCGCACTCAATGTACGAAAACTTTATTTGATAGAAAAGCATACTTAACTTTTATGGGTTTTTTTCACATTTGGTACACTGGTAGATCATTACAACCTACAATTAGTTGTCAACTTTGGTTTAATTATAAACCAAATGTGAAAAGTTATTTAACATAAACCGCTCAAATTTGACCAACATTTTTGCGCATGTCTACACAAAAATTCAGGTGAGCTATTGGCCTGAAATTTTTATTACAGCGTCACCTAAGAGCAAACGTGGACCGTTTATAGTTTTTCACACTTGGATTAAAAACGGCTGATTTAGAGCAGCAAAACTATAGGGTGAAAGGAGGTGCAAATACATAAGTATTGGTTACGCCAACCAAACTAGATTAGCAGTTTCTAGCTCAAGTTTTCAAAAGAATCATACGAATGAACGGTTATTATTCATTATTCACAGCTAACTCTTAAGCGTGAATTTGCTAAAGTTTATGAAATTTTTCTAATTAAAGAGCGTTTAGAGTCATGTGATGTTAGCTTAAGCAATTAGCCTAAATAATGATGCTTGACATGACTGCACCGAGTACATGCGGGTGATAACAAGAAAACTGTTAATCTAGATTCCAATGCGTTACTATTAACACTGTTTTAGAGAGGATAAACTACCACCATATATTTTAAAGAATCTGGTTGGTTTTGTAAAGTATATGTCTGTTCCGAATAATAAGGTTGCGATCCTCAAGTTAATGTTGGTTACTGTCGAGTGTCACTTTCTTACTTGTTGTAGTTTGTTGGTGTGTATTGACCAAAAAGTCATGATATCTAATCAAAAACACCTTAGGTGTGAAAAAAAAGGTGGAGCCATAAAAGGAATGACATCAAAATTATTGGCCAAACTGGTAGCTACACTTATAGCATTGATAAAATAATTTATAGCGAATATTCATTTATTAGTTAGCTAGGCCGCGTATTTTGTTTTACCCACCATCATGCCCCAAGTTCAACAAAAAAAACGCTGCTTGGTTAACTAATAAATGAATATTTGCTGTAAAATTCTTATCAATGTTTTAAAGTAGCTACCAGTTTTGGCCTCCAATTTTGAGTTCATTTCTTTAAGTCGTACGCTCAATCCTTTTTTGACTGCACATTTTCTCCTCACGTAAGATGTTTTTGATTAGATGATATTTAGTTCTAACTAACTATATGTAAAAATTATTAATTTATCTATCTATTTACGTATTCATTCATCCATCTATATATCCTAGGTTAATCCTATAAAAAGAATTAAATATATACGTACATGTATGCACTGCTTAAATAACATGTTACTATGCTCCATTTATCTGGGGTGCTTTTCCATAAATAATTTGCACACAGTGTTGGTAGCAGTGTCATAATGATTATGTATTAAAACTAGAGAACTCAGTCTTTCTTCAGTTTGTGTACATCTCAGGTAACTATAAAACCGGCGGAGATCAGATACCGAACGTTCACATGAACTTAGTAACAGTGTGACAAAGAGTTTCAGTAACATAAAGATATTTGGTACACTGAAGCACGCTTTGAAACAGTCAACCAGTATATGAAGCCTCTTCTGGAAAGGAAAAGAAAGCCATCTTTTCTTCCATCGATGAAGTTCTTCATCAAATTATCAGGATTTGGCAACTCTTCTCTGTAAAAATCTATAGCCTGTCTGATATCAGAGATAAAAAACTCTTGTGTGAGCTTTGAAGTTTCTGAATTGATGATGTTTGCTTTACATGTGCATCAAAGCTGGAGGAAAGATTACCGATAATGTAGTCAAGAAAAGCACTGGTTACAGTTTTCTTAAAGTCATCCTCCAATGAACTATATTCTGTACAATAAATCGGTGTACAAGGAGAAAAATAAGAGATTTATAGGATTTTTTTGGTATTTTAACGATCATTTTTAACTTTCTGGTTTATTATAAATTTCAAATATATTAGTAAGTTATACTAAAATTATACAAGATATATATTTTATTATAAAGTAATCTATATCTAACATTCTAATATGGTGTTAACAATTTCCTATGATTTTATGTTTTGTGAAAGTAGGCTATGTATATCTTTATGATTCTAATATGGTATTGTACAATTTGCTATGATTTTATATTTTGTGTAAGTAATCTATATATATCTTTATGATTCTTATATGGTATTGTACAATTTGTCATGATTTTATATTTTGTGTAAGTAATCTATGTATATCTTTATGATTCTTATATGGTATTGTACAATTTGCTATGATTTTATATTTTGTGTAAGTAATCTATTTATATTTTTATGATTTTAATAGGGGATTATATAATTTGCAGTGATTTTTTTTAAAACTGTGATTTTATATATTTTAATGTAATTATTTTTCAAAAAAACACGAGGTTTCATATTTAAACTGTATTCTTTTTATAGTGAAAATAAAAAGAGCCAAAGAGTAGTAATTTTAAACATCTTTAGTAACAACGATTCATGTATACATACATGATGAGTACTATGTGGTTTTCTCTCACTAATACAACGCTTTTTTATCCACAATCTAATAACAACATATGAATAAGATAATAGAATTGATTACAACTACTTAGTAAACACGCACAACACTACGGTTTACTATCGGAGCACAACAAGTAGTGACGATTTGTATTCTCAAATGTACCTAAAGCTAGAAGACTCACAGGTATCACGTGCCTCCCTCGTGTTGTCACTGATAATTTTGTCAAATCAAGCATTTAATATTCAATTTATCTTACGATTATTTGCTCAAATTGAAAATATGTTATATGTTAATTCAAAATATCGACACCTGTAATAATGTGAACGTTTATCCAAGTATCACATTTTATCAGGTTTTACTTTTTAACTCGATTTCCAATCAAAGACGTCAGAACGGATTATGTAATCTAATATTACGTACTATAAAGCTTCAGATTTAGACTCCTCCTTCAGGGTCATTGCGGCCCGGCATGGCCAGGTGGTTAGGGAGCTGTACTCGCAGTCTGCGGGTCGCGGGTTCGAATCCCCGTCCCACCAAACATGCTCGCTCTTTCAACCGTGGATGCGTTATAATGTGACGGTCAATCCCACTATTCGTTGGTAAAAGAGTAGCCCAAGAGTTGACGGTGGATGGTGATGACTAGCTGCCTTCCCTCTAGTCTTACACTGCTAAATTAGGGACGGCTAGCGCAGATAACCCTCGTGTAGCTTTGCGCGAAATTCAAAACAAACAAGCAAACAGGGGCATTGCACCATTGTTTTTGTTTTTTACCCATCTAAATTTGTTTGCCTGTGTTGACCATCATCATGGCAACTTACATGACCATTTTCGCATTTTTGGTTAACTATGTTTCTGTTGTTGTTTTCTTACCATTTGAGTAAATAAGTGAACATTTGCAGCTACATAACACAGTACCTTCAACGTGAACGGTAACAAAACATTAGTAAAGTCAAATTCATGTAACGAGGCTCACAGATTCACCTATGTGCATAATTTTCCGTTTAAAATGCACCATGTGGCTAATCTAAGAGAGCGATCAGTTTGAAAAACCCGAACGCTGAACTATCAACTTGATTAATTGTACAAGGCAAAACAATGCGCTGTATGACACTTGTTTCCATGTCGTCATTGGAAGCTCTGCGTGTTAGTTAAGCCACACCAAAATTTTTCATGTTGTTAAGGAAACACCAGAAACAAAAATAAGGGTTTCGGCGGAATCCCCCCCCCCTCCTCTATACATACGTGCGTGTTTAGCTTTTAACTTGCTTTCTTTTTACATTTTATAGTATTTTCCTTCTCTCATTTTTACCGGTTGCTTGACGCAGATAGCCTAGTTGCTTTGTGCCAAAAAACGCCAATCAACCAATCTTTTGGTGTATGGTTACCCCTTCAATTACAGCACATAAATACTACTACTATACTGATAAAATTGCGGTTTTTGTTTTAGTTACCTCGTCAATTTTCTCTCTCTCTCTCCCTAGGTACCACATCCAAACAGGATGTTGGTGACCATGGTCTTCAACAGATCTCTTTTCTTTCTGGCACAAAGAACTTCCAGTGTTGATATATTCATCTCCGTAGTCTATCCTTCCTTCTTTCTTTCCAGTTACGACCAGACTTTCAATTTCTTCTTTCTTCATAACGTGTCAGAGAAACTCTGCCTTTTTCTAATGTTAGCAGCTTCCTCCTGCAACCTGTTCTTGACAAAATATATTCATTTGAGTAGTGACTTGTCCGACATACCTTCAAGATGCGCCTTGAGAACCGCAATTTAATTGCTTCAATTATTTTCCATACTTGGTGCATACTTGAGAACTGGTATAACATAGCAATACAACACTCTTAACTTCGTACCTACAGAAATTTTACTATTTATCAGTATCTTTTTCATTTTCAGAAATGCGTTTTGCCATCCCTATTTTCCGTTTTATTTCATGATCACGTTTACCATCTGATGTTATCCAGCTTCCAGGTAGTTGAATTTATTGACCTGCCTTATCTGTTCCATATATGCTTTGACAATGCATAGAGGAATGATCTTCTTCTTTGTAATTGCCATGCATTCTGCTTTCCTACAGTTGATACTTAAACCTTTCTTCTTGTTTTCATTAGCAAATTCATCTAATTCTTTTGTAGCTTCTCTTCTGAATCAGCTATTAAAACCTTATCAGTTATAATACACAAATATTACTACTATATCGTTAAAGTTATAGTATTGTTTTATAGTTTGTAGCTTCTCTTCTGAATCAGCTATTAAAACCTTATCAGTTATAATACACAAATATTACTACTATATCGTTAAAGTTATAGTATTGTTTTATAGTTTGTAGCTTCTCTTCTGAATCAGCTATTAAAACCTTATCAGTTATAATACACAAATATTACTACTATATCGTTAAAGTTATAGTATTGTTTTATAGTTTGTAGCTTCTCTTCTGAATCAGCTATTAATACCTTATCAGTTATAATACACAAATATTACTACTATATCGTTAAAGTTATAGTTTTGTTTTATAGTTATCTATCAATTGCGGTATGTAAATGAAACTATTATATCGTTACAATAATCGTTTTGCTGTATGATTACTTCTTCAATTATATCACGTAAATACAACTATTATGTCGTTAAAATCATAGCTTTAGTGTACGGTTACCTCATAAATTCTGTACGTAAATACAACTATAATATCGTTACAGTCATAGCTTTAGTGTACGGTTACCTCATAAATTCTGTACGTAAATACAACTATTATATCGTTAAGGTCATGGTTTAGTTGTATGCTATCATTTCAATTATATCACGTAAATACAACTATTGTTAGAGACGGATTGGCCAATCGGAACTCCGAGCATTTGTGTTTAGCCAGTATTCAACAAATAAAAAATTATTGGGTCGTGTGACGGATTTACTATTATATATTTATTTTAATATCGATGTTTGTTTAAATTAAGTTTATATTTAGAAATGTACATAACTTATACTGTTAATATATATATTACGAAACTCCCGCTTATTCTATAAAGTTGTAGAAGATTCTCGAGTGTAAGAATCAACAATATATGTGTGTACGCAAACGCTAGTGTTAGCGTCAGTAGTTTTACGTAACTGAAATTTCGAGAAACTATCCACCAGTCTATAAAC